GCAGGCTATAAAATATTTTTTTCCTATTGTGGATAAAAATGTTGAATAAAACAGCAACGCACAGACCTATATCGCATGCTAATTGGTTTCTCCTTATACCAGTCAGTTTTGTTGAATAAGGTTGTTCAACCAAATACTAATGTTCACTGTATTCTCCTCTTACCCTCATTTGTGCAACTTGTTTATAAAGATACTAGAGAGCCTTCACTAAGTTCTAAAGACATGGTATTACACAGATCTGCTAGTCTTGTACCTCCTAAACAAGGTATGTGATTAGTTGCTTATTGTTTCTTAGTAAATCTGTAGATGTGTCAAGTGTTCATTGATTCCTTTTACTAAGATCTGACAAAACCTATGTATATTAAGCTATTCTGCTTTTTTTTTTCAAAGAATCTGCAACAGACTCCACAGTTTTAATTTCTAAAATTCTCTTTCTTGAAACAATTCTTTCTGAACATTGAAATATTTTATTTAGTCACTTACAGTCCTGTTGTACCTTTGCCATTTTCTGTTTTTTTTTTCTTCAGATTTGTCAGCAGTGGTTCCATAATTACATTGACAGGTTCTTTCAGGGAGGTGGTTCATTTAGCTTAGAGACTTGAACTTGTTTAAGGCAGTCTTTCTCTTCACCTATTTTGCATTTTGATCCATCTTCATATTGCTTTTTATCTTCTGGTCTAAAAATCATTCTCCCGAGATCAAAGATAGAAGAAGCAAAATAGAAGTTGAATAGTTCTATTTTCTTCCTGTCATCTTTGATATATCATTCTAGTCGAGGTGTGACCCTCACTTTCTTATATTTTTGTACTAGAGTTTAGAGACAATTCAAAAACAAAAACAGATGATTTTAATATTGTTATCCAGAGAGGTTCAGGTATTTTAAAGATTTGGGGGTCTAGATAATTTTAGTATGGAAGTGTATCTTTTAGGTGTACTTTTGTGTAAAGAATCCTACCCATGATAGTCTCTCTGTTTTGTTTCTTGACAGCTGTTAATTCTCCCTATTAGTGACTTTCTATTTCATGTCGTATAAATTGGTGGCCTAATGTGCATATTCCGCCACATAGGAAGTTGATGAGCTCATTAAAAACTTTTTTGTTTGTTCTCAAATTAACAAAATTCCTTTTGCCCTTATATTCCTGTGAATCACACATGTGCTAAATTCTGTTTCAGCAGCAGATGTCTCCCATGAGCTGGTTTAGGCTTTACTGAGCTCTACCTAGAATAGTCAGATGCATCCAGCTAGTGAGTTGTTTATGTGCTCATTATTTCTTTTTTGTTTGTTTGTTTTTTGTTAATCCTCACGGAGGATATTTTTTTCTACCGATTTTTTTTTTTTTTAGAGAGAGAGTAGGAGGGAAGGAGCAGGAGAGAGATACATTGATGTAAGAGAGACACATCGACTGGTTGCCTCCCACACATGCCCCAACCAGAGCTGGGGATTGAACCTGCAACCCAGGTACGTGCCCTTGATTAGGAATCAAACCCAAGACCCTTTAGTTCATAGACCAACACTCTCACTCCTGAGCCACACTGGCCAGGGCTGTGCTTATTATTTATAAGGGACCATTTTGAGTTTTCTTTTCATAATGTGGTTTTTATAAGAAGTAGAAACTGGAAAAAGACTTTAGAGATGGTTTTGTCTAAAACTTCACAGACAGAAAAAATGTAATCCACTTATCTAAGGAGCTGCTGTTAAAATGAAATTTTCTGAGTTTTAAATTAGTACCATTTCCCTGAAGGGAGAATTTTTAAAAGTAAAAAAAAAAAAACTTAGAAATTAACCAATATTTGTATTTTTTAAAAGAGAAATAAATTGAATTCCAAAATAGCTAATAAAATTTCCTGTTGTTATAGAGCTAACTGATAGAACTGAAATTCAAAACAGGTTTCATGATAGACCAGTGCTTTTTCCACTATACCTTTTTGTCAGAGCATTATCTTCCTAGGTGGCTCTGATAGAACATATTTATTCTCAAATTTTCTCATTAACTTTAATATTTAGAAAGTTTTTTCCTGTCTTTTAATAATAGTAAATGTGCCTGGTGGTGTCGCTCAGTGGTTGAGCGTTAACCCATGCACCAAGAAGTCGCCGGTTCAATTCCTGGTCAGGGCACATGTTTAGGTTGTGGGCCCAATCCCCAGTGGGGGGCATGCAGGAGGCAGCCAATTAATGTTCTCGCTCATCAATGTTTCTGTCTCTCTCCCTCTCTCTTCCTCTATCTCTAAAAAAAAAAAAAAGAAATAGTAAATATTTTCTGATGTGTCATCATTTACTTTCGTAATGTGTTCCATTTTATCATTTCTTCCCTGGTATATGTCACTTTTAAAATAACTGCAGACATTTTGCTTTCTTGAACCATGTTTTAAGGATTTATTGCTTTGTTTTTGTTTTTTAACTTTTATTTTACAGTGTACTTATAGAACAGAACATTGCGAACATATCAGTAAATATGTATTTGTGCTTCAGCAACTAGTATAAAATTGTCTCTGAGAAACTAAAAATTCTCATGTGTATTATCTCCTTTATTCTCAGGATAGTCCAAGGAGTTGTAGTATTTTCACTGTTTCTTTCTCCTAATGTTTGTGGGTTATTTGTTCATAATGTATATGATAGAAATTGAAAACTAAATTTAAAAGCATTCTTGTCAGATTGAAATGAGTCGAATACATTTTTTATCTAATAAGTAGGTACTTATTAGTCCCATTGTTAATCAGTCTAGTCAGCAGATTTTATTATAGCAAGTCTTTGTACAGTACTGTACTTGGCATTGACTGAAACTCAATTGGAATTGACCAGAATCTGAATTATTTTAACTTGACATTGGAAAGGAAAATGAAGAAGTTAAAAGAAACATTGATCTTTACATGGGTGAAAAAATTTTGTTATAATGTTGAGCAAGTTAATGATCTGTTATAGACCTTAGAGGTGTCATAGGTCATCTTTGCTATGACTTCAGCTGTTACAGTTTGAAACTAAATAATTCTGTGTATACATTAATATGTTTTCAGATATTGATGGAGCTTGCTAAATTAAGAAGGAGATTCTTGGTGTGGGTATTTTTTAGGCCACAAAAATAGGTTCCTTGAATGTAAAAATGTTGTATCATTGTAGATCCTTAGAATTTGAGGGTACCCTAGCATTTAACTAGTTACCAACAAGTGCATGGATTATCTTTACAATATGTCTATTTACAATTTTATATCAACTTGATGTGTATTTTTGGTATGCTGGTCTCTATTTCTGCCTCAGTATCTTTGTGTTTCTATTCTGGGTGACATAACTTTCTTACTTTTTGTTGTTGTTGTTGTTGTTGTTGTCTTTTTCATTCTTTTTTCTACACCTTTGTTTTTTCCTCTCCATTAATCAATAAATATGGAATAGAATGAAAGTTGTTTGTTTGATTTCAAAATATTCTTCTAAAGAAATACAAATCTATTCCTTTTCTTTGAAGGTAAAACTATTAAATAGAATGTCTATGTTGCCATAGGGGTGGTTAACTTTTGAGATTTCCTTAAAAGTTAAAGTATTCTGAAATAGAAATATCAGTTATGGATCATAATGGTAAAAATTTTGTGCTATATTGTACTTTTTCAGAAATAGTTTATATTGGGGCTGTATTTCATTGTCTAGAATCTGCTGGAAATAGGAAAATGTTCTCATTAACTATAGAAAGATCTCTCACCTAACTGTAAGCAAGAAATTTTTTTTCCTCAGAAATGAAGCTAAATAGTTTAAAGGTCTAATAGTTAATTTTATAGGTGTGCATATGTTTAAGCACATACACAGACTTGGAGGCAGTATAGAGTAGAAGATAGTTCATCTACTCTAGATTGTCTAAGGGTAGAGCTTGGCAGTATGATTGCCATCTCTAATATTTCAGTTTCCTAAAATAACTATGGATACCTTCAGATACATAACATACACTTAGAGTGATATCTGAAAACTTAGTCTCACAAGAGATGACAAGAATATAAATATTAATACATACCAAATCCATTATATTAGAGACTGGAACCAAAACTGAAAAGAATATTTTTTTGTTTGTTTGTTTTGGTTTGGTTTTTTTAGGAAGATAAATAATTTTGCCTCTTATTTGAGATACCCTACCCTTAATGCTGCTGAAAAATCTTAGACTGGTGGAGACAAGTGCCTAAAGCTATGATAATTTAGGAATTAAAATGCTAAGTTAGACTCTTTTTGGGAGATGACATAGAGCCTGTAAGATCTATGTATTTAGAACCAGGTAGTAGGGAAGGATTCTGCCATTTGGGGAATATATACCTGGTTGACTTGGGCTGAGCTTCTCAATAGCCAAAATAGTTTTTGAACTAATTTTTTAAAACTGAGTTGCGCCCTGGCTGGTGTGGCTCAGTTGGTTGGAACATCATCCTGTGCACTAAGGGATCATGGGTTCAGTTCCTGGTCAGGGCACATACCCAGATTGTACCTCCTCTAGTAGACCCACCTCTGAGTAGATCCCTGGTATCAGCCATTTAACAAACAGCTCCAGTTCTAAGATCCTATTATTTTGTGTGATATCCACTATCCTCCCTACCCCTTCCATCAAGGCAGTATCCTGACCAAAGTAAAGCTGTGACTACTAACTAAGCCAGGCTATGAATAGTAATCTTAATTTTATACACTTACTGTTAGGCCTCTATTTCTATCACTGTTGTTAGGCCTTATGCTTTAAGCCGCAGCGGTTCTCAACCTATGTGTCACGACCCCTTTGGGGGTCGAACAACCCTTTCACAGGGGTCGCCTAAGACATAACAGTAGCTAAATTACAGTTATGAAGTAGCAACGAAAATAATTTTATGGTTGGGGGTCACCACAACATGAGGAACTATATTAAAGGGTCGCAGCATTAGGAAGGTTGAGAACCACAGCTTTAAGGCATTGAAGACAAGGATAATGCTTGTTTGTTTTTTATTTCATTTGCAGCACAGTTTTGCATGCAAGTAGGACTAAATAAATTCTTATGAAGACATTTTTTAAGCCTGAAATTTATTGATTTATTTAATTTTATTTAATATGAATACCTCAACATTTAACCAGAGTGTAGGATTATTTTAATTTATAGCTGTACAAAATTATTTTTTTCATGGAGTACTTGTATCCAAATAATGAAAATTGGATAATCTTAATACATAACTCTTAGTTTAAAGAGATGATATGATATATGACTTAAGTTGTTTATATGCTTCTTGGTACATTCATATCTGCTTCATCATCCTGCTCATCATTATATTAGATGAAAATTGTGCTATTTCTCCTATACATAACTGACTTGCTCTTCAGTTTTGTCACCTTCACTTTCGGTGAGAAGAGGTATATCTAGTAGAATGATTGAAGAAGACTGAATGGTTGAATTTCGGAGTCTCATTGGGCTCTGGTATATGGCAGGATTAATCCCATTTCGCATTCCATGTTTTATGAAAAACTTAGAGTTTTCTGCCATTGGATTCCGGAAGATATTACTGGAGCATTTTCTAAGAGTTTTTACTGATTTTGTGGCTTGATAATTGCAGGTGATATATCGACCAAATGCATCCCGAAATGTCTTGTTGAAGAGGGTATAGACCAAAGGATTCACTCCTGAAGAAACGTAGCCTATCCACACAAATATCTCCAGGAGCATTTTGAGAGTAGTCTGGTTGCAGGAATCACATAAAACTAGAGTTATATTTGTAATAAAAAAAGGACACCACATAAGCAAAAAGAGGAAGAACACAATCCCTAGAACCTTTGAGGCTCTCTGTTCATTGGAAATGGTCTGCAATGACTTTTTTCCAACTGTGGACATTCTTCGCATAAGTATATCATCACTCGAGTTGGGTGGAGTTTTGCCCTTGTGAGAACCATCCAGCATTATTGCCACCTTTTCAGGTGAGGAGCAAGGTGTTCCATCCCTTTGGAAAATTGTGGACACAGTCAGCCATGTTAGGCGTTGAGGTGGCTTATTTCTGACCAAGTAAGCTTTCTTCTGTAAAGCATGGATAGTGAGAAAGTAGGTGACAATCATGATTGCCAGAGGTATAAAGAAGGAAGCCAGTGAGCCAAAGAGCATGAAATTGCCATGACGATCTTTTGTCAATTCACAAGTGATGTTTGGATTACCCACATCGGTTTCTATGCCTTTAAGAGGGACTGGAACAGCAATACCTAAGGAAGAGGGAGCAAGATAAACTTAGTTAATTTTATGGCCTTTGATTCTTAGATTAGGTCCTTTTTTTTTTTTTTAATTTATTTATTTTTGTTACAGGTGTTTCTCCTTTTCCCCCCACTGATTCCCTCCTCCCCCTCCCTCCCCACCCTGTCCCCAGCTTTGTTGTCCATATCCATTGTTCATACATACATGCATATAAGTTCTGTGGTTTATCTCCCCCCCCGCCCCCTCTTCTGGGGATTGTCAGTCTGTACCCCACTTCCACGTCTCTGGGACTACCCCGTTCGTCAGACTGTTATGTTCATTATATTCTACAAATAAGTGAGATCATGTGATATTTGTCTTTCTCTGCTTGGCTTGTTTCACTTAGGATAATACTCTCCATGTCCCTCCATGTCGTCTCAAAGGATAAAAGATCTTTCTTTCTTACAGCTGCATAGTACTCCATTGTGTATATGTACCACAGCTTTTTTATCCATTCGTCTACTGATAGACATTTGGACTGTTTCCAGATCTTAGCTATTGTAAATAGTGCTGCTATGAACATGGGGGTACATATATTCTTCCTGATTGGTGTTTCAGGCTTCTTAGGGTATATTCCTAGAAGTGGGATCACTGGGTCAAATGGAAGTTCAACTTTTAATCTTTTGAGGTAACACCATATTGTTTTCCATAGTGGCTGCACCAGTCTGCATTCCCACCGGCAGTGTCCTAGAGTCCCCTTTTCTCCACACCCTCGCCAACACTTATAGTTTGATGATTTGTTGATGGCGGGCGGCCATTCTGGCAGGTGTGAGGTGATACCTCATAGTCGTTTTAATTTGCATCTCTCTGATGATTAGTGATGTTGAGCATTTCTTCATATGTCTCTTAGCCATTTGTATGTCCTGTTTGGAGAAGTGTCTGTTTAGTTCCTCTGCCCGTTTTTTAACGGTCTAGTTTCATTTTTATGGGTTCTTTATCTTCCTTTTGTTGAGTTGTATGAGCACTCTATATATATTGGAAATTAACCCCTTATCTGATATATCATTGGCAATTATGCTCTCCCATACAGTGGGTTGCCTTTCCATTTTGATGATTATATCTTTTGCTGTGCAGAAGCTTTTGAGTTTGATGTAGTCCCATGTGTTCATTTTCTCCTTTGTTTCTGTTGCCTCAGGTGATGTATCAGTGAAAATTCTGCTGCGTATAATGTCTGAAATTTTGTTGCCTACATTTTCTTCTAGGATTTTTATGGGTTCATGAGTCACATTTAAGTCTTTTATCTGATGGTCTAGTTTCATTTTTATTGCATGTAGCTGTCCAATTTTCCCAACACCATTTATTAAAGTGGCTGTCTTTACTCCACTGTGTGCTCTTGCCACCTTTGTCAAATATTAATTGAGCATATTGCCTTGGTTCATTTCCGGGAGATTAGGTACTTTTAGAGTTTAGTGACTTTATGTGGTTAGTAAGTTGTAATTTCTGGTACCCACATTACAGAATTTGTCAAAGCATTTAATCAATGGAAGATTGGACAAATAGAACCTAAGTAAGCAAACCTGCTGTTTTAAAACAGAGATTGGGCCCTGGCTGGTTTGGCTCAGCGGTTAGAACGTTGGCCTGTGGTCTGGAGAGACCCGGGTTCCGTTCCCGCTAAGGGCACGTACCTTGATTACAGTTTGTCCCCGGCCCTGGTTGGGTCGTGTGGGTGGCAACCACTTGATGCGTCCCTTTCACGTCAATGTTTCTCTCTCTCTCTGTCCCACTTTCTCCTTCCCACTTTATCTGAACAAAAAATGGAAAAGTGTCCTCAGGTGAGGATAAAAAAGAGAGAGAAAATAAATAAAACAGAGATTGGCTAGTGATTTCAGGTTTATAATTAAAGCTTCCCTAAAGCTATAATATATTCATGGAATAGTAGAGAATGTCTTCATTTATTCTCCATTTCTTATCATCTACTTTCGTTTGTTGATCTGCCCCAGGTTAAGGAAAAGGAATTCAGGAGAAGCTGCTTTTAATATTAAATGTAGTTAGTTGATCTAAGAGACTTCAGAGTACGTTCATGCAGCATCTTAATTCTGAATTACTATTATCTTCGGTGTTACTCAGTTTCATTTAACAGATAGTGTTATCTTTTGATGTTTGTGAATGTCTTTACTTCTTTTCCTTCTTTCTTCTTAGGGAAGACTAAGGAGTTCATTGTTTGTTTGTTTGTTTTTTTAAATGCTACTAAAAATTTTTAGAGTATGTGAATCTTGAAATTTATTTTCAGGATTGAGTTCATACCATAAAGTAAATATTTAAATATGATCTTGTTCGGTGAAGTAGTTTATTAGGAAGACAAGTTACACGAGAGTTAGCCTGAATCTTTTCCCTTTGAAACAGCAGATTTTTAAAAATAAATCTGAATTAATCTTTAGAAACTTCTAGAATCCTTTTGTTTTAAATTACTCCATTATCTGCACAGCCTTTTTATGGTAGCTAAGGAGCCTTTGATAAGAATGTTTTCCTCAAACCCTTTTCAATGGAGGCCACTATTTTTTCTACTTTTCTATAGGATCACCACCAGAAAGAGGATTCTTTATACTTATATTCTACACTAGGGGTCAGCAAACTACAACTTGAGAGCTAAATCTGGCCTGCCTTCTGTTTTGTAAATAAAATTTTATTGGAACAGAGCCATACTCATGGTTAATGTATTTCTATGCCTGCTTTTGTTCTGCTGCAGAGTTGAACAATTGTGACAGAGCCTGCAAGCCCAAAGTATTTACTATTTTGCTCTTTACAGAAAAAATTGGCTGATCCCTGTGCTACCCTCTTACTTCCAGGTAATCATTCCACTGTTCTCTTCCCCTAAAACACTTCCCTTGTAAAGTCTAGTTAATCGATTTATACCACTCTATTCTCCATTTACCCACCAACTTCCAGGACATTTGTCCATCTTGCTCAATAGCTCCTTGTTATAGTCTTCCTCTCCACTATTCCATTACTATCATCTTCTATGACTTTCCATTGATGTCCTTTCTAACACCTGAATTTTATGTTCTTGAACTTCTCAACTCTAATTATTTTTGCTGTTGTTGTTAATCCTCACCCAAGGATATTTTTCCATTGATTTTTAGAGTGGAAGGGAGGGAAGGAGGAAGAGAGAGAAATATCAATGTGAGAGACACATCAATTGGTTGCCTCCCTCATGACCCTAACCAGAGCCAGGGATAAAATCTACAACCCAGGTACGTGCCCTTGACCAGAAATCGAACACATGACCCTCCAGTCCACAGCTCAACCCTGTGACCTCTGAGCCAAACTGGCCAGGGCATCAACTATAATTATTATTATTTGTACTCCTGAAGCCTTTTATAGGTCCATTTAAAATTACCCCATATCTAAAATCACGAACTCTGATATTTCCCTTCTTGTCCTGCTGCTCTTCATTACTGTAGAACTTGTCTTTACTATTATCTTGACCTCTAGTCCATCCTTACTTCTCTATTTTCACATGCCATTAATCTCGTCAAGGCTCACATTACCTTCTCATCAAGCTTGTTGGTCAATACAATAACATTTAAGTTTCCACTGGTTCTTTTTCTACCCTTACCTTTTTATTTTCCTCTACTAACTTACTATAGCCAAGTGTTACCTAGGCTAACCATAAATCCAGAAGAAAAAAGTATGTAAGCTCTTTTCTGCACTTTGCAGAATTAAAAAACTGAACTAACCCCATCATCTGCTTTTTCTTTTACAAAGTTACTAAATTATCATTGGTTCTACAAGGCAAAGTGTGATGAAATGAAAGACCCCTGTACCAAAAGGTCGCCAGTTCGATTCCCGGTCAGGGCACATGCCCAGGTTGTGGGCCCATCCCCAATGGGGGTGTGCAGGAGGCAGCCGATTGATGTTCTCTCTCATCACTGTTTCTCTCTCTCCCCTTCTCTCTTCCTCTTTCTCTAAAATCAATAAAGAATATAAAGTTTTAAAAATCAGAATAGGAAGATCTCTCAGTAAACATGAAGATGGTTCTTTCTGATAATATGAACCTTTTCTGCTTTTTCACAATTTTTGCTGATAGTATGGTTTAGTAGCTATATGATGAATGTAATGGCATGGGAACTTGTATTGGTGTGTCAATAGGTTGCCTTGACTTCTTGTACTGAGTTTCATGGCCTAGCAGGACTGGAATTCTCCTAGCTAAATGGAACCAAAGGCTATATATACCACCCCTCACCCTGATATTCCCCACATACCTATTGAAATTAACCACACCGCTGTAATCTTGATGAGTGCTGTAGCTCGTGAGTTATATTGATTGGCCTGTATTGGCTTTTTGATGGCTATATAACGATCCACTGAAATGGCGCAGAGATGCATAATGGATGCAGTAGAAAAAAGAACATCAAGAAATAACCAGGCAGGGCATAGAACAAGTGGGAGGGGCCACATAGCTTCTGAAAGAAAGAAAAACATTTCTTCAGCAAAATTGCAACTTTTGATCTGCATTTTTTTTCCCAAAAGTACTACATATTTTTTAATCTATTTGTAGTTTATCTGAAATTTAATGACAAGTTTCGTAAGATAATGTTTAACTTCAGATAATGAAATACATAATATTCAATATATTTCTGTAGATGGTACCTTCTAAGTACATTTTTTGTTTTTATAATAATTACAACCCTTTTCTAAATCAACAATATAGCATTATGTTGATCTTTGCTGTTTTGTCTATTCCTTTTGTGATCTTTTAAATGTTTATATAGTGTTGCACCTAGAACTTAAACTTGCTATTCAAATAAACTTTATTTTTAAGCTGCTATTATATAAGAATAAAACCTTTTACCATATGGAGGAAGCAATATAATGTGGCAAAAAAAAAAAAAAGTATTACAATGAAATTCTCAATGAGGTCTGGAATTTGGGCTCACTTATAGCAATAATTAGCAACATGAACCTTGTGTACAGCAAACATTTGGTGAAATTATTTAAGGTTTTTGTTTTGTTTTGGGGGGTTGTTTTTTTTTTGACAGAAATAGTTCTTAAATAAAGTTTATAAAAGGAATGGCTTCAGGTTATCCTGAGGAAAAGTAGATTGCTATCCTTCCATGTCCTATCATTAACTTCAAGCTCTGGAGATGTAATAAGTGATACAAACTTTTGGTTTAAACAGAAAATCTCAGGATTAGACATAGGACTTACTGTATTTAACAAACTTATTTTACAGAAACATTTACTGTCTACCTTATACAGTCTTAAGTACTTTAGAAATACTAACTTTTTTAAAATCTAAGGTTTCAGATATGGTTTTGAATAGTCTAAATAGCTTTTCAATAAATTTACTTAGACAAGTATCCATACATAAAGTGTTTTTATTTATTTATTTCATTTATTTTGGGTATTTTGTTTTTTTAGAGAGGAAGGAAGAGATAGAAACATAGATGTGAAACATCAGTTGGCTGCCTCCTGCATGCCCCCTACTGGGGATTGAGTCCGGCAACCAACCCAGGCTTGTACCCTGACCTGCAATCCAACCAGTGACCTCCTGGGGTGCATGGGACCATGCTCAACCAACTGAGCCACACCAGCTGGGCTGTAGTTTTAAAATTAAAATTTTAGGGTTTTTCTAGAATATTTCAGTTAAAATCCATTTTACCAAAACACACAGATTTTAGAGCTTGCTATTAAAGCAAATTACGCCATATAGAACAAATGTCATATGTTGTATGAGACTATTTACATCTTTTTTTGCCCCGCCAGGTGGCTCAGTTGGTTGAAGTGCCATCCCATACACCAAAAGGTGGTGGGTTTCATTCCCGGTCAGGGCACATACCTAGGTTCTGGGTTTGATCCCCAGTCAGGGCTTGTACAGGAGGCAGCCTGATAGATGTTTCTCTCTGTCCCCCTCTTCCTTGCTCTCTAAAATCAATAAACATATCCTCAGGTGAGGGTTAAATAAATAAATCCTTTATACAGTTTGTCGTATGTCCACTGACAAAATATAAAACTTGATTTTGCAAGTGTATATAACTTTGACAGACATAAAATTATCGGGATAATTGGAGAACCAACATAAAATCTCAGGATTTCAGAGCACCAACAGGCCCTTAAGTTGTAAGTTGTTTAAATTCCAGAGTTTGTGTGTATTATTATTATTATTATTTTTATTTATTTTTTTTTTTAAGAAATCAAGTAGGGTTTCAGTGAAAAATATTTGGATACCTCACAAAAAAGGTACCAAGGCTGACAAATCCACTTTTTAGTACCTTCTGTTTCCAGAGTTGGAATGTGGCATTCTTAATAGGAATATTAAAATGTTTCTTCTTAGGAACAGAATAACAAAATTAGTATGACTTTTTGTTCAAAAAGGATAGATTATTGCTTGGTACTTGGTTCCATGTTCAGTGGCTTTTTAAAAAAAAAAAATCTAAAGCATCAGGTGGAAGGAGTAATTCATGCTTTTAAGTAAATTACTATAATATTATTCCTACTTCACTGAATTGCGGGTTGGAATAAGCTATGAAGAGAATAAGTTATAGTCACTAAGCTGGAAGGAACCTTAGAGAATATGTCACTGATTTTGCAGATGAGTGAATTCAGGTACAGTTAAGTCTTTGAATAGGAGAGGGAGCATTTAATAGAACTGCAGGTTCTTGGGCCTTATCTCAGACCATTGAATCAACCCTGCAGTTGAATAAGATACCGGGATGATTTGTATGCAAATTGTTAAGAAACTACTTTAGAAGACATCCTGGAAAGGTGGTGTCTTGGTGTCTAGCTTGATATTTGCTAATGTATGATAGGCATTTAGTATGTCTCAGGAAGGAACTTATGGGAAACCTTTCAAAATAGAGAATGGCAGAGAACTTTGTGTGTAGAAAGAATCTAATCAATTGAATTTTCTCCCTTTTAGCTGTCATATTCAGATTATCTGTTATTTAGTGGAAGAAGACCTTGGTCAGTGAAAGGTGGCAATGTTTGACCTGAGCTTATCAAACCAGTGGTCTGAATGAATAGAGTCACGAATGATTGGGAGTTTTGCAGTGGAAACTACTTCAAGTGAAGCTGCATTCCGAACTATCCTGATATTCTAGATTTAGGACTGAGTAGGAAGTAGAAAAATACTCATGTCTAGAGCTGTATCCAGAGATATTGATCATATAGTTAAGGATTGTAAAAGGGAGATAATTAGCGATTCTTAGCCTTCTTTATTTAAATGCATGCTCTGTCTGTATCATCTTTTTTTTTTTTTTTTATCCTCACCCTAGGATATTTTTCCATTTTTTTGTACAGATAGAGTCGGAGGGACAGAGAGAGAGAGAGAAACATCGATGTGAAGGGACACATCGAGTGGCCGCCACCCGCACGACCAACCAGGGCCGGGGACAAACTGCAACCGAAGTACATGCCCTTAGCGGGAACCGAACCCGGGTCTCTCCGGACCGCAGGCCGACGCTCTAACCGCTGAGCCAAACTGGCCAGGGCTGTATCATCTTTTTAAATGGGTTACTAATCATTTAAACTTGCCCTATTTAGCTATTCTAATTATGGGTTATATTTTTTTAAATTAAGGTCTGGAAAATTTTAGTCATAAATCTAGTAGCCATGAGCAGGAAGCCACAATAGAACTCCCATGTAAAAAGTATGTGTCTTTGGAATTAAACTGTCTGACCTCTTAGTGCTGATTTAATTAAGTCTATGAAGCTTTGTTAGCCTCATTTTCTATCAGAATGAGTTTATATTATAACTCCAGTTTTGGAACCGGAAATGGGTATTCAAGTCACTAGAACTCTATTAAGTCAATGCTTTCTTATTGAAAACAGTAGAAATATTGAGGCATGGTAGAGAATTTTTTTAAAAAAGAGTATAAGGTTTAGGATTAAGAGAGATGGATCTTGCCCTGGCTGGTTTGGCTTAGCGGTTAGAGCATCTGCCTGTGGACCTAAAGATCATGGGTTCAATTCCCAGTCAAGGGCACATACCTGGGTTGCAGGTTTGATCCTCAGCCCCGGTCGGGGTTGTGTGGGAGGCAACCAATTGATATGTCTCTCTCACATTGATGTTTCTCTCTCTCATTCCCTCCCTCCCTTCCTCTCTCTAAAATCAATAAAGGAAGAGAAAAAAAAGAGAGAGAGAAGGATCTTTAGGATTAAGCTTTCTGATTCCAAATTTCATGAAATACTAGTGAATAGAAGTTTTTGAAACTAACAAAAGGTACAGATGACTGCATTAAATTAATAGAAATATTTTATGCAAAGGAAAAAGAAAATAAGGCTTATCTAATTGCCTAAATAGATTCAGGTAATCTAAGAATTTATACAAATTAAAAACAATTCTAGACATTTTCAGTTTATAAAGGAACTTTTTCCAGACCATATACTTTCATTCTAAAATTATCTTTTCAGTTAGTATTAATTTTATAGGCTCAAGATAAGAAAGATTTCTAACTATTCAGATAACTATAAAAGATTTTGTTGGTATGGTAAGGTAGGTTAACTATTCCAAAGTGTTATGTTGTTCTTATTAGGAGTTTTGATTTAAGTATTTACAATTTTATTTATTTGTTATAATGTTTATGTCCAGCTTATTTCTATAAGAACATATTATTTGAAATGGAATAGTTTCATACTTACATAAAAAGAAGGAAAAGTATATCTGAGAGTGAATCTATGGGAAATAAGTTATCAGATAGTTTAACTAGATTTCAGCTATTCTGGGGCTCTAAATTTGACTTTTCCATAAAAAATTATAACAGAAGGGGGGAAACATTTAAAATATGTAGCATTTATTGTCCTACAAAAAGAAAGCATGCAAAATTTCTCTGAAAGACATCCCATTTTGTATCTTTCCCCCACCCACTTCCAAATTAATCTCAAAGAATTTAATTTCAATAAGTTTGAATATTGGCATTTCCAAGAGTGCCTGAAATAAATGCAAATTGATGATTATAGAAGCAAAACAAGTCTTAGATGAGTCTTAGATTATTGACAGTTTATTATTTATCTAAAATACTAGTAGCATAGGAAGCATTTATCTCAATCTAGTGAGATCTTGCTTCCAGGTATGTCTCAAATAAATTTTTATAAAAATAAAAAAATAAAAAATAAATATGTTAATAGCACAAGTATTTTGTTGTTTAAAATGAGGACTTGTGCCTGGCTGGTGTGGCTCAGTGGATTGAGCGTCATCCCATGGACTAAGAGGTCCCAGTTCAATTCCCGGTCAGGGCACATGCCTGGGTTTTGGGCTTGATCCCAGTACAGGACGTGCAGGAAGCAGCTAATCCATGTTTCTCTCTCACATTGATGTTTCTGTCTCTCCCTCTCTTTCTCAAAAAAAAAAAAAAAAAGAGGGGGGACTTATACCCTGGCTGGTTTGGCTGAGTGGTTAGAGTGTTGGCCCATGGACCAAAGGGTCTCAGGTTTGATTCCTGGTCAAGATCATGTACCTGAGTTGC